AGTCTAGACAAAAGAGTTATGCTGACAGGAAGGTCCGTGATGTTACTTACATGGTTGGGGAGAAGGTTCTGCTCAAGATTTCACCCATGAAGGGTGTGTTGAGGTTCGGGAAGAAGGGCAAGTTGAGCCCTTGGTATATTGGGCCTTCTGAGATACTTAAGAAAATTGGAGAGGTGGTTTATGAACTTGCTTTGCCACCTAGTCTATCGGGTGTACATCCAGTGTTTCATGTATCCATGCTCCTAAAGTATGTCGGGGATCCGTCTCATATTCTGGATTTCAGTACAGTACAGTTGGACGGTAATTTGACTTATGATGTGGAGCAGGTGGTTATTTTAGACCGACAGGTTCGAAAGCTGAGGTCAAAGAACATAACATCGGTGAAGGTACGGTGGAGAGGCCAGCCAGTCAGAGAATCTAGTTGGGAGATTGAGCAGGAGATGCAGAGCAAATATCCACACCTATTTGAGACTCCAGGAATGATTCTAAACTCGTTTGAGGATGAACGTTTGTTTAAGAGGGAGGGGGGGGAATGTAACGATCCGACTGGTCATTTCGAGTATTATAACACTGTTCCCCCATTTACTACTCAATGTATGCCTTATAGTTGTTTTATGACTTGCCGGAGTAGCTGGTTTGGGTCCGAAAGAAATTCGGAGTGAAATGAGACACTTAGTCTCATAATTGCAATTTTAAGTTAGAGAAGTTGACCGGATGCGGACCTATGTGTAAAAGACCTCGGATTTGAATTCTGATAATTCCAATAGCTCCATTTGGTGATTTTGGGCTTAGAAGCGTGTCCGGAAAAATTTTTAGAGGTCCGTAGAGGAATTAGGCTTGAAATGCCGAAAGTTGAATTTTTGGGAAGTTTGACCGGGGGGTTGACTTTTGATATTGGGGTCGAAATCCGATTCTGAAAATTTTAATAGGTATGTTATGTCATTTATGACTTGTGTGCGAAATTTAAGGTCAATCGGACGTGATTTGATAGGTTTAGGCGTTGTTTGTAGAAATAAAAAGTTTCAAAGTTTATTACGCTTGAATCTATGTATGATTCATGTTTTTAGTATTGTTGGATGTGATTTGAAGACTCGACTAAGTTCGTATGATGTTTTAGGACTTGGTGGTGTATTTGGTTGAGGTCCTGAGGGCCTTGGGTGAGTTTCGGATGGTTAACAAATCAAAAATTGAACTACAACAGCTGCTGCAATTTCCTTCTGCTGGAAATTCCTTCTGCCAGATTCGAGCCCAGAATCAAGCCCAAAAATTGAGCGCAGAATCGAGCCACGATCGAGCCCAGGGTCGAGAGCCACGATCGAGCCTAGGGTCGAGGGCCACGATCGAAGGCAGGGTCGAGGACCAGGATCAAAGCCATGATCGAAGGCCAGGGTCGAGGGCCAGGATTGAGGGGCAGAATTTAGGCCCAGGATCAAGGCCCAGGATCGAGACCCAGGATCGAGGACCACGATCGAAGGCCAAGATCGAGGCAGGACCAAAGCTGTCTCGGCAGAATTATAAAGCAGGGGACTTCGTCCCATTCGCCATTTTTGGTAAATTGGAGCTTGAGAAGAGGCGATTTTTGATAGATTTTAAAGGAAAACTTGATGTAAGTCCCTTGTTATCATTTCTACTCCATAATATTGAATTATCATCGAATAATCCGATTAGATTACATGTTTTTTAGGTGTAAATCGGAGATTTGAACTTAGAAATTTGGAGATAAGATTTGTAGATTTGAGGGTCGAGTTGAGGTCGGATTTTGGTAAAATTGGTATTGGTAGACTCGTGGTTGAATGGGCTTTCGGATTTTGTAACTTTTGTTGGGTTCCGAGATATGGGCCCCACAGGCAATTTTTGAGCTAAATTTTAGATTTTTATGGAAAATTAGTATTTTCTTATGGAATTAATTCCAATAAATTTTATTGACTGAAACGAATTAATTGTGACTAGATTCGAGGCTTTCGGAGACCAATTCTCGTGGTAAGGGCATAGCGGAATAAAGAATTATGCGGTTTGAGGTAAGTAACAGTTTTAAATCTGGTCCTGAGGGTATGAAACCCCGAATTTTTGTATCATGTGATTACTTTGGAGGTGACGTACATGATAGGTGACGGTCGTGTGGGCGTTCACCGAGGGGATTGTGACTTGGTCCGACCAGTGAAACTGTAAAGTTGAATAATTTGTTGTTAGCTATATGATCTCTATGTGTTGTGGAAATTTGACTGTAAGACATGTTAGAAACCATGTTTAGGCTATATGTTGGTACTGCTGCGACCCACAGAAGTCGTGTACATGTTGAATTATCTGCTAAATTATTGTTTGGTACTCAGTTAGTTTACTTGTTTATTTTATCTGAGTCTCTATTGTTCAATATTGATACATCATATCATTGTTGTTTAGGCTAATTTCATGATTATTGAGAGCCCGAGAGACTGGAGATATTTATGACTGAGTGAGGCCGAGGGTCTGATTATGAGATATTGATACTATAGCATGTGAGTTATCCGTGCAGCACATGAGTTGGCCGTGCGGATCCAGATATTGATACTATAGCACGTGAGTTGTCCGTGCAACACGTGAGTTGGCCATGCGGATCCAGATATTGATACTATGGCACGTGAGTTATCCGTGCAACACGTGAGTTGGCCATGCAAATTATAGCGCTTGGGCTGTAGGAGCCCCTCCGGAGTGTGTACACCCCCAGTGAGCGCGGGTACCCATTGAGTGTGAGTGCTGAGGGTTGAGAGCTGAGTGGTTGAGTTGTTGTGACGAGTGGAGTATCTGTTGCCTGAGAGGTTGTACTTGCTTTTCATTTGTTGTTGCACTTAGTTGCTATCTGTCATTGTTGTAAAATTCTCTGAAAGATTTTATATCCGGATTACATGAACTTGAACTGTATAAAATTGATTTGACTTAAACTATCGGATTTGAAAGCATGTTTATTCTTTGCTGGAATTACTGGAAATGAATTGTAACTATGTAGCTCATCAGTATCTTTAGTTCCTTATTTAATATTGTTACTTGCTGAGTTGGTTGTGCTCATACTATACCCTGTACTTCGTGTGCAGACCCAGGTATTTTCGGACATAGCGGGTGTTGATTCTCTCGCATAGTTGATTTTTTAGAGATTCAGAGGTAGCTTCCGTGTTTCGCAGACCTTGTCTCTCTTTTCCTATCTCCTTGTTACTGTATTTGGCCTCAGATTATCATAGACCATATTTTCCAGACTTGTATTCATAATAAATGCTCATGTACTCAATGACACCAGGTTTTGAGAAGTGTTCGTATCAGTATTTGTGAGATTTTTTACTGTATTTAAATATTTTATTTTCAAACTTAAAGAGAAATTATGGTTTATGGAGATTATCGTCTTACCTAGTATTGAGATAGGTGTCATCACGACAGGTTAGGATTTTGGGTCGTGACAGTATCCTTACCATTATAGGTTTTATTTCTCAAAATTCTGTAGGATTGGAAGAAGTGTAATTATAGAATTATAATATTCAAATTTATTTTTAAAAAACCCAGGTATATACTCACAAATAAATATGTATGGTATTAAATTATACATTTAATATTATATACCAACAGTTTTTGTATAAATAAACATGGATGTGTATACAATATACCACTATTATCTTATTTATATAACCAAATATGCTAATTAATTATGCCATATTCCAGAATTATTCCAAAAATATACCAGCAATATTTTTCGAAGTAAAACATATAAATAAACACACACATATGGCGTACACAAGAATTTTTATAAGTGGTGTCACCATTAGGCGTAAAAAATAGATAAATAAATATAATATCATATTTTAAAAAACAACCAATAAGAAAAATACAACTTACAAAGGAAGCAGTCCAATTTAAAAATTGTATTGTGCTGGTTTCTTTAGTTATCACTCAGGATCCATTAATTCAGTGCTTTGATACTAAACGGTTTAAACCCCTTTGGGTAGCCTCTTACCGGTTAAGCTACAGAGATCTTCGTTACAAGTGTTGTCACTTTATTTATTTTGTTGGTTTCTTGTTTCTTTATTTGAATAATACACAAATAATTATTAAAAAAATTCAACGAAGCGGTATCACGTGACACTGCTTGGGCTAAGATAGATACGCCCCTACACACATATACATTATGCCTTTAGTATACCATTCGTATAATAAAATATTTCTAATTAAAATATAAAAATACCAGAATTATCATAAATATATTGGTATTATTCCGTTATTATACCATTTTGTATAATTAATATTATTTTGAAAGAAAAGAGAAAGGATTTGGATGTGATATGGAAGAAGCGTGATTACAGGTGAGAGATTTTGTTTGGTATACGTTTCTGATATGGAAAGAAAATATTTGGTTGTCATCCATGTAAATCTCCTTGATGCTAGGATTATGTAATTTTGTTTGAAAAACTGCCTAGTTTTAAAACTTCCTCGACAAACTATGCTACACCCCTTTCAATTGGTCAATGACAGTGTCATTGTAGAAAATTCATGCATTGTTTTGTTCTGCATAGATATCTAGTTAGTGATATTGTTATGTAATTTTATGGTCTACATTGCGGAAATGATACCAGGTAACCACTTTTAAGCATGTTGTTTCAAATATATTCACAGTTTACAATATATTTAAATACTAGTCAATTTCGCTCAAACTTCAGGACATGGCGTCCTAGAGTTTAAAAGTCAAAGTTCAAAGTTCAGGACATCGTGTCCTAAAATTCGAAAATTGTGTCCAGAAATTTGAATCTTATATCCTGAATTTTAAATTTGTAATTTAGAAATTTAGGACACCTATTCCTGAATTCAAATTAGCAGCTCAAAAATCCAGGATACTTAATTCTGAAGTTTGGGTGAATTGACTAATCTTTAAATACATTGTAAATTGTAGAAATTTTTTAAATAGCAGGCTTGAAAGTGGCTATTGCTTCACTTCGCCCACATTTCTAGTGAAATTCGGATTGAGTTAATTAACGTCAAGTCAAATGCAGGAGTTGCCAGAGCACAAGAGAGGAGATGCAGTGAGTAGCATGGTATATGAAGCAAATGCTAGAGTTAGAGATCCAGTGTATGGATGTGTTGGAGCCATTTCGTCTCTTCAACAACAGATTGATATGCTTCGGACCCAACTAGCTATGGCCCAAGCTGAGGTAGTCCATTTGAGGCTAAGACAATCTGCAGGCATTACTAATAGCCCAATAAACAGTGGGTCTCCCTCTTCCCACATAATGGGCTCTCACCAGCCCAAAGGATATTTCCATATGGATTTGGATGTAGACCAGTCCAACAACAGCTTCAATGAGCCCATATGGCCATGTTAGATGAGTTTTGCCTATTTTAAGTTCAAAGCTTCTCCATATCCTTTTGCCTCTATATACTTTTTTTCTTATGAGAGCAAAGGTGATGATTAGGTACTGCTAATGAGTGTATTAGAATGAAATCAAACCCTTCTAAGGGTGTATTAGAAAAGATTATTATCCTTGTGCTTGTGTATATATGGGGAGTTTGCATCTATACCCAGTTTCTGGGTCACATTTTATCCTATACCCGCTTTTCAAAATAAATTGCAAGCGTACAAACTTTTCGGGTAACTTCAGGAATACGGGCCTGAAGTAGCAAAAATTTATGTCTGAAGTTTGAATTTCAGAAATTTTTACCTGAAGTGTAGCCTTATCAAAGCAAAACTACAGATATTTTTGCCTGAAGTTTGGCCTGACTTGCAAAGGCAATCACGCAAATTTCTGTTCATAGTGCAAGGGAAAACTTCAGTTTCTCCTCACTTCATAGTGCAAACTTCAGACAAATTAGTCTGAAGTTCTTCAATTTATAGTGCAAACTTTAGGAACTTCAGTTCATAGTGCAAGGGAAAAACTTCAGTTTCTCCTCACTTAATAGTGCAAACTTCAGACAAATTAGTCTGAAATTCTTCAATTTATAGTGCAAATTTCAGGAACTTCAGTTCATAGTGCAAGGGCAAACTTCAGTTTCTCCTCACTTCATAGTGCAAACTTCAGACAAATTAGTCTAAAGTTCTTCAATTTGTAGTGCAAACTTCAGGAACTTCAGTTCATAGTGCAAGGGCAAACTTCAGTTTCCCCTCACTTCATAGTGCAAACTTCAGACAAATTAGTCTGAAGTTCTTCAATTTGTAGTACAAACTTCAAGACAAATTAACTTTTCAGTGTAACTAAGAGTTGGTTTGGCATCACATCGGGCTTTACCTCATGGAAAATTCTTCATGTTCTTCATATTGGATTTGGAATTTCTATATATTCAGTATGAGATAAACACATAACAAGATGAATTAGAGAGTATCTGTTGCGCTCTCGATGCATTTGGATTTGTATCTCGAGCTTGCAAAATAAAAGATTATAAAATTTGCAGAAACCCATGTTTTACCTTCTGTTGACAAGGATCTGAATTCAAATAGAGAACAATAACAATACTATGTTTTGTTATTTTATGACAGTATTTGATCAAATGTAAGTTAAGTTATTAATTTGACTTCACATTTTATTAGAGAATATATTAAAGTTGTGGTTGAAAAGTTAATTTGATAGACAAGAAGAGGAGGAAGAAAGGAGCGCATAGGTCAGGAGGAAGAAGATGAGGTGTCTGAAGTTGTTAAAATTAGGGTATAGGTTAAATAATTTTAAAAATATGGGTATATGTTAAAGGGCGCGCCCTATAGGGCGCCCCGCACAAGTTTTACGTATATATGTAAGCATTATGAAAATTTTCTTGAAGAATTGGGCTTTTGGCCCAAACTTGATGCCTATATATGTTGGTTTTGTCTTCTTGTCTTATTTTGTTGTGAAACCATCTTTAAACTCAATGATTAATAACAGGAGGCCATCGAACTTATAATCTAATTGCAGAAAAATCATCAAAATAATATCTGTAACAAAAAAAAAAAATCACCAAACTATCATTAATTATCCAAGAATATCAATTTGGCCAAAATGATTTGCTGGAATAACTTCTTCAAAATCTAGGATTAATTACACAGAAGATCATCGACCTTATAGTCCAAATTGCAGGAAAATCATCAAACTTATATCTGTAACATAAAAATTCACTCAACTTCCATTAAATATCATAGAATATCAATTTGGCTAAAAATTGATCAAGATTTGCAGGAAATCAGTGAAGCCCATGGGGAGCGGGCTAATGAGGGTGAGTCAAACAGGGCTGGCAAGAGTGCACATGTCACCTTAGGCGAATCTTACGTCGAAATGAGAGAGGAAAGTAAAGTGCTTTATAAGGCATGTCACAAGTTCAAGTGAAGGTGGCAGCGCTAAAGATAAATTCCTACGGCCCCAAGCCCTCTTGGGTCGTGACAAAATCATCCGAACACATTTTTCACTAACATTAATCAAGAACCACAAGATCAACACATAATTGATATAGGGAATTCACATATTCTTTCATAAAATATAAACAAGCGAGAGTACAATACTCCAAAGAGAAAATGAATGAAATTAGAAGTTGGGGTCAGTGAGCTCTCCATTCAAGTACTCTCTGTAAGCAGCAACAGGCCAACTGAAGCCTCTCCAGATGAGCTTGTTAGCCAAAGGAACATCAATGATGATTTCCTTCATAGTTGGTTTCTTGTCATCTCTTACAGCAATCAAGTAACTCCTTCCAACCCACCCAATCCAACCAGCAATGTACAAGAAGAGAATCCCTGGTGTTATGAACTCTCCCCAGTGCCTTTGGTCTCCACTCACTATCAAATGTGGCAATCCATCTGATCCACACAACAGTCCTTGTTTCCCATAGTTGTCAAATCTGCAAAACCAATTTATCATTCATAATTATGTATGGAAAAAGTAGATAATTAGGAAAATTCTATGATATTCCTAGAATTTAACAGCCCAGCCCAGCCCACACTTGATATTATCTGCATCTTAAAACGCGGCTTGTTTATTTATTTATATACAAGTATCTCTTCCGTATTTTGTATGTGAAATTGACGCAACATAGAAAAACTTGAAGAATGAGGAAACAAGACAAACCTGCGCTTGGTTTTCTCAATAGTGGCGTTAATAGCAAGGGCAGGAGCACTATCAGGTGCATAAAGTTTGAGAGAACTCTCAAGTTTCTTGATCTGTTGCTTCTCACGCTTTGCAAACTGCTTTGATTCCTTGCATGGAGTGAGCCCCGAGATGTCAGCAGAAGCTGGAAGTACTGGTGCTGACAACAGAATAGAAGACAGAGCAAGTGCAGCAGAGAAAGCCTTTAATGAAGAAGAAGTTTCCTCTGTTGAATTAGATGAAGGGGTTTGGTTTGAAGAGCACACGATGGTTGAAGTTCTTGGTTTTGTGCTAAACTGAGAGCTAAACCTAGGTGTTGTTATGGATTTTGAAAGGTTTGTAGGAATAGTGAGAGACATGGTGTTCTTTCTATATTTTTCCTTTTTAAGGTATTATTTTCAAGAGAAATGGTAGAAGAAGGAGAGTTTGGGGATGGAGTGTGGGGAGTGAAGGGATGGTTTTTAGTATTCGTGGGAGGAAGTTAGTGATGAAGGAAGAGGATAAGGAATAAAAGGGAGCTTACGTGGAGGGGTTTGATTGGATAATTGAGTTAGATTTTGTGAGTTTTGGAATCTTTATCTCTGAGATTATCTGTGGAAGAGCAAGAACCAGGCATTTACAGATCTAGATACGCCTATGGTGTGGCCTCCACGTGTGCTGGGGATTTGGAATTTATTTTGCAAGGGTAAACTCGGAAATTACATTCGTGCTAACTATTACTCCATTTGATAAGTATTTTGAGAATTGAAAATTACAAAAAGAAGAATTAAAGCATTCGGCATGTATAGTGCCAAATAATGTTAACTAAAAATATACTACTATAAATTAAATCACCTTCTTAGATGGAAATTTGAAAAAGATAAATTTAACAAATTGTATTACTAGTCTAATTGTGTTCAGTTGTGATCTTATATTTATTTCACGCAATATAATATAGGTAACAACTAAAATCTTGTGCTGGAAAAAAACTAAAAACCAATTACATTATTTAAGAGTTAAGACATGTTTGGTGAATATACAAATGGGAAATAGTTTATTTAACAGTGCGTGCACTTAAATCATAATATTGTGGCAAGTGCTCCCGCTTAGTGAAACACAAGCTTTTATGAGTCAAAATCTGCTTTCATTAAGATTTGACACGAAGCGGTATCGTGGAAAGCGATATGGCCGAGGTCGATTAGTAGAAAACGGAGCTTATAGCCGAAGAATCAATAACGGTCGAGATCGAGTATGAAGGGCAGTTCTAACGGCTAGTTTTCGAAGTAGAATATTCTCTTGAATATTCTATGGTATCCATACTTTTAGGGTTGATTGGGTATGTCCCATATAAATAGAAAAAGAGATAAGGGGAGAGGGGGAGGTAATATTCTCTAATAAGAACATTCTTTGAAAAGCAGTCTTTCTCTCTAGATAAAAGACAATCACTACCTTTCTAAAGAGATTCGATTGTCTACTATTCCACACTTTTTCTATTAGATCCGAGAAGGGTCCCAACATTCTAGTATTTGTATATCATTCATCATTGTGAGAAAGAAGAATCATCCACCTCATTCAATATTGGGTGAATCATTCTCGTTATTTATTTCAATGTCATTTATCATTATTTATTGCTTGATATTCCCCCATCATTAATGATCTTGAAACATTGAATGTGCATCACATTTAATCTTCTCTCAACACTGCTCGTGCGTTATTGGTATTAATCGGTTATAGATCTGAAGTTATTATCATTAACTAGGTTTAGCCCTTCGTCATATAAAATTAATTGGTTTAATCAAAAGTCTAAATTTTTTGTCAAACAATTTGGCATCGTCTGTGAGGATACTATAGTTAAATCTTTAGTTTCTTCTAGATCTATAACTCGCACAGTTCACAAAAAAAAAAAAAAAAAAC